GGTCTTATGCCATGTTTGTCCAGCATCCCACCCAAGTATTTGATCGAACTTTTCATGATCTCGCAATTGGTTGCCTTACGTATCAAACCCGCACTTTTCATGCCTGCAAATACCTCGTATGTGCGCTCAATGGGATCCTCAAGTTTAAGTGTGGCAATCACTACGTTACCTACGTAAAACATGATCAAATTTCCATATTTCTTTGTTATTATTGGCAGTGTTTGTGCCATTGATCTCTATAAGGTGGCGGTCACGTTGCACAGACCCAGCTGCAATCGTTTCCGCTGGAGGAGTCCTAATTTTTATCCCGTCTTTTCCCATTACTTGTTTTGGAAATAGCCCCCAGAATGCTGTTCCCAGATCAAGAGTCGAAAAATTGCACATCCCCCAATTTTGAGAGGTTTTGTCTAATCTTGGAATAGGATAGAGACGGAGTTCAGATGTCGAAAACCACATCCGAATCGTAATTAATCCCCTTTTTCTTATCCATCACTACTCCACACTCCTACGGTATTTCAGATGATTCTATCATATCGTACTCGAGAAGCAATTTTTTTTCTTTATGCATTTGTTTTGTGTGGGGTCCTTTTCCTCCCCCTTCCTCAGCGGTACGACCAATTCCTCTAATTCTATTTCAAGTTCGACAATATTACAACACCCACTTTTGATATTATGCCTCTTGAAACGTCCTGGTAAGGACGTCTTTGATGGCTTCGAGCTGCTAGTCTGCTTGTCAGTGTTTTTCCCCCTTATATGTTCCGCTTCGGGTAGTACCAATGTGTCCACGTTCACTTTTTTGGGTCTGCAAATTTCTGAAAAATTTGAGCTGCTCGCAAGTTCATCATTTGTTTCTGAATTGAGAGAACTGATTTTTTGTTACAAATTTTATGTTTTCTTTGATCTGTTCAGAAAGCATTTTTTGTCTTATTTATTCGGACAATCGAGAGCTTCATGATGCTTAATTTTTCCAACAATCTCATGTTTGATTTTCACTGGTAAAACTTATCCTAGATTTCTCCCTCTGTGGATTGTGATTAGTATGTCATGAGTATTCAACAACACACTCATCCAATAGGGGGCTTGGGTGAGTGTGTTGTTGAAAACTCATGACATACTAATCACAATCCACAGAGGGAGAAATCTAGGATATGCATTACCAGTGAAAATCAAACATGAGATTGTTGGAAAAATTAAGCATCATGAAGCTCTCGATTGTCCGAATAAATAAGACAAAAAATGCTTTCTGAACAGATCAAAGAGAACATAAAATTTGTACCAATGTGTCCACGTTCACTTTTTTGGGTCTGCAAATTTCTGAAAAATTCGAGCTGCTCGCAAGTTCATCATTTGTTTCTGAATTGAGAGAATTGGTTTTTTGTTACAAATTTTATGTTCTCTTTGATCTGTTCAGAAAGCATTTTTTGTCTTATTTATTCGGACAATCGAGAGCTTCATAATGCTTAATTTTTCCAACAATCTCATGTTTGATTTTCACTGGTAATGCACATCCTAGATTTCTCCCTCTGTGGATTGTGATTAGTATGTCATGAGTATTCAACAACACACTCACCCAAGCCCCCTATATTACCGAGAAGCATATTCAAAAATTGGTAGCACTTTGACCCTTTGGATTTGGAACTACCTAAACCTGTTTGTTTTTGCGTAATTCATTGTGATTTCTCAATCTCAGGATTTCTATTGCCGCCTCATTTGCTTTTAACATTACCCTCTTACTCAAGAATACCGAAGTTTTGTGCTATTGTGACATTAGTCTTTATTAAGTTAAGTGGTTTCTCTTTTAATTGTTTTCAGCATTGCGTATCTTGAACAGAGCTTTGTTGAGATCAATGATCACTTCGAAATTTCTTACAAATTCTCTTCAAAGGATGTATTGGTCTGATTCATCTAGAATGTCGACAACCAAGAAGCTCAGCTAAATTATAACAGTTTTTCCCTCACAACACATATGCGGTTTAATAGAACAGGTCCTATAATCATCAGCTCAAGGGTCAGGAACACTATATCTGAAGCATGTTTACCTCAATTGGTCCGCAAAATCCTCAGTTTGCTTATGATTAAAAATTGAAAATCGTTACAGCTTAAAAGCTAATACCAAAATAGTATTTACTCGGAATTCCGACACTCTTTTCAATGGGGTTTGAGTGTTATAGGTATCAAGAGACCCAGCCATATGGGCGTACTAATTTCTATTTGGAGTAGGGGGCTTCCCCCGTACTCCAAATAGAAATTAGTACGCCCATATGGCTGGGTCTCTTGATACCTAAAACACTCAAACCCTTTGAAAAGAGTGTCGGAATTGCGAGTAAATACTATTAACTTTCACTGGACAGTGGATATTGGATCCATTTCAAACAGAACAAACTAAAACTCGCTTCACCTCAACCTAACTGTATAAAATGCTTTGTTGTATTCGAATTCAGGACTGACATCAAGACAACTACTCTGGAACTAATTCCAGGCGCTATCGAGTAATGTAACTGTAACTCAAGAGATTTGAACAAACGAACAAGATCCGCTCTAGAAGTTTTCCTTACGTTTTGTACAGTGAGGTCACCTGAGTGGGCGACGTTCCCGATCAAGGTTCCTTTTGCTTTGGCGTTTCATTCGCGAATCCACTCCCGATGCTCTCTATCAGGAACAAGACAGCTCTACTCAAGTTGATTGTTAACGGGAGTTTTGCCAATAGCAATTTTACTTCTGACTAATTTTTTGTAAATTTTCCAAAAATTTTAAATTCGGATCTTCTGATTTTTTTTTTGAAAAACTCCATTTGCATTTAAAATCACTACAGCTTCTTAGATATTTTTGGCTTTGTGACCGCTTGGTTATTAAAAACTCAGATCCAATCAACCATCAGGTGTATCTGCTATAAAGATAATTTTATAATTAACACTAAAATTATAGTCTATGTAAAACATGGCTAAAAGTTAAAAAACTGACATGTCAGAATAAAAAACATTCCCAAATCGAACTTTTATAACCCTGAAAGAACAAAAAAACTAAAAAATCTCGGAAATTTACAGGAAACGTTATTCATGATTACGTAATTATATTATGTAATTACAGTTGTTTAAATTTGATTGGTTAAAAATTTTTAGAGATTTTTTAGACATTTTTCAGATCTTTGATCGTTTTGTAAATTTTATTAAAAAAATTTAATCCTGATGATGCACAAAATGTGCGAAAACGTTTGAATTAACATTTTAATTTTCTTATAACCATTTTTGTTAAAATCTAACCCTTTTTAGCGATAAGCTATAAGCAAACTGTTATATTCCTTTAAGGAAAACTATCAGTAGTTCGATTTTTTTTTGTCTAAGTGTACAGAATTTCACTACCACTTTTTGTTCATAATTTCAGTAGTGTTTGAGTTAAAATGGCGATGATTGTAGCTGCCAGCTCCCTTTATCACAGCCTGAAAGATCTTGAGCAAGAGGAACGGAGAGAGACGCAGCAGTAGGTCTACGCAGTCCCCGGCTTTCTTTGAACCCCAATATCTTGAACAGGGGGAAGGATTTACGAGTGTTATTGGAAGTGCAACCTCTGGTTAGTAAGCAGATTATTATCTGGCACGACGTGCTGAACAACAGCATATCCTCCCATCGCACGAACAACTATACACCCTGCCCACTTGATGAACTACTGGCGTATTTACAATCGAAGCGAAGACAAATTAGGGTCATTGTCTACTGCAAGAGAACGGGCGCTCCCGATTTTTTTGAGGATCTGCGTAAGAGAAAGGTAATCGTTATAAAAACAACTGGTAGCCTTATCTCTAGAAGGAAGAGACAGAATCCTTCAATCCTCAGAGAATATCTTCAATTGCACCAGTCAAGTGAATTGGAGTTGAAGTCACTACGGGTGGTGATGTCCCATCGAGACCCCCTGCCAGGCATTTTCTCAAGGATACGGGCTCAGACCGAGAAACCACCGCAGGGACGCCGCAGAGCAAAGGCGCGGAGAGCGGAAATGTTGGCTGGGGACCTCCAGCCGGAACCGAACGACCAATAAGTGGTAAGATTTTTTTGTGGCCGTTTTTTCGTTGCTGAGTGCCACATGAGTTTAAGGGCTCGTGGCCTGCAAAGAACAAATGACCGCAATTTTGCTGCCACCAACACTCCTTAGATTGGTACTGAAAAGAAAACTCACTTGGAAACTTGTATTAAATTATTTAAAACATTTTAATAAACTTAATAGCAGTTTCCTGAGAATCATATTTCTGAGAAAATGTCTCGATAACGACATTATACCAGACTTTTTACGGTTTCGCGTGCCTGATAACGGTGTTTTTTCGGATCAAGCGGTGCACAGCTTTCAACTGAGACTCTTGAGATCTGAGATAAGCCAGTCAAATGCGGTTAGGGCCAAGGCATCGGATTACCTAGTAAAAGCAAGAGAGGTAGTGAGAAGGGGTATAGATGAGAATTGGTGGCCTTCGGTAATATTCTATCTGAACCGGCAGGCAAGTCCTAGTGTCAATTACCTGATAATCCGACACAAGAGAAAGCTTGAGAAACTTTCGGAAAGACGGGGTAGAGCATTAAAAAACTTGGATGAAAGGCCAGTTAGATTTTTAGATGTAGGGAGGCCAGTTAGATTTTGTCGCTTTGAGTTCAGGAAGTCTGAGTTTTGGACCAAAACATCCGTTACGAGACAAATTCAATGAAATTCAATCCCTTGCTGACATTGATAGTTTTTTGTCTGAACTGAAATTAAATAGAATACCCGGAGAAAAATTATGTGAGATTGAAGCAGCTGCAAAGATATATGCTAATAATGAAAAACAGACCCCCTCTGACAAAAGTGTTGAAAAAGCCAGAAAGTATTTAAAGGACAACGGTCTTCTGGCAGTGCCGTTTGATAAGGGGGTGAGTTTTTGTGTAACGAAAAGGGAGACAAATGAGAAAATACTGAAAGATTTATTACAGGCAAAGCAATTTAGTGAGAGGAAGAATCTGATAGACAGAGACAGCGTGGTTATGAGAATTGAAAAAGACATAAACAAAGATTTACTCGCCATGAAAAAGAAGGAAGAGATTAGCGAAGCGCTGTTTACTAGGTTGAGATCAACGGGAGTGCAGCTGGCTAGAATGTATGGATTAGCAAAAGTACACAAACAAGGCACACCACTTCGTCCCGTCCTTTCTTTACCTGGTAGCTCATATGACAACCTAAATAAAACATTGGCAATGTACTTAGATGAAATTGAGGGGGCGAACATAGAAACGAACACTCAAATGGCCAGGGAGATCTTGGAGAAAACTGAGTTGGACTCTGACGAGAGTATAATCTCCTCTGATGTAAAGAGTTTGTACACTAATTTCCCGCTCAAGGAAGCGGTTGAAATAGCCCTGAGGAGATTATATGAGCAAGTCAACCCTCCGGAAACATCTCGCAAGACTATGAAAAAACTACTGAATTTGTCAGTGAGTAAGGTACATTTTAAATGCAATGATTTGTGGTATGTACAAAAAGACGGTTTAGCAATGGGCGCCTCCCTTGCAGTAAAATTGGCCAATTTGTGGCTCGAAGAATACGAACCTGCATTAAAGAAAGAAGTTCCACAATTGTTTGAGCTAAAAGAGGTTAACAAGGAATTGTGCCCTAGATGTCAGAAAAAGGTGACATATCGGACAAAAGGGGTGGAATGCGAAATTTGTTCGAATTGGTACCACTTAGGGTGTGGTAACATATCGGAATCCGAATACGCAGACATCCCTGAAACAGTATGTTCCTGACTTGCAAAGTATGTTCCTGACTTGCAAACCTGACCTGTGAATGGTGTTAAAACTTTTGTAAGATTTGTGGACGACATAGTTAGAACGGTCAAAGGCGATCCTGGGGTAGTTCTCGCGGCTGCTAATAAGTTGCAACCAAACTTGCAGTTCACCTTAAAAGAACTTGATATTAACGGTAATTTGGACTTTTTGGACTTAAATGTCAACGTGGATTCAGCAAAAAAGGTCACACGTGGTTGGTACCAAAAACCCACTGATACCGGCACCAATCTAAATTTCAGAGGCTGCGCACTTTTGCAGTGCAAAAGAAACGTTATTGAAGGGATGGTTCAGAGGGTTTTCAGAAGTACCTCAACATGGAGAGATTTTGACCAGGCATTGGAAAAAAATTGGAAGCAATGGATTCAAAATCAATATCCGAAAAATTGGTCTGACCGGGTAGTGTTTGAAACTCTTAACAAGATCATTGAGGGAAAGAAAAACTTAGAGGTGAAGGCATCAGAACCGAGAAAGGATAAATGGTTGAAAGACTCACCACCCCTTCTTAAAATGCAATATCGAGGCAATCCTTCTCAACTGTTAGCTGCAAAGTTTCGGCTAATATCCGGGGCACAAAAACTTTTTACAACAAGAAAATTGAAAACAAACTTGCCATCCCTCAAAACATCCTTTGCTCGTGAACTAAGATCCAAAGTGGTGTACAAGTTTAGATGTAGTGGAAGTAACTCCACCTATGTCGGCCAGACAGTCCGACATTTAGCCACGAGGTCGATGAACACCGCGAAGGGGACTCCCCAGTAGGGCAACACTTGTCAGAGACTATAGACCAAACAGCCAACACTCATAAGCTACTGACACTAGAGGTTTTGCATATTTGGCGGTAGAGGCCGAAGATCAACACACGCGATGGATTCAGGAGCCGGGAATTAACATTAAAATTATAGTATTTGTATAAAACGGCTAAAAATTAAAAAACTGACACGTCAGAATCAAAAATATTCCCAAATCGAAATTTTATAACCATGAAAGAACAAAAAACTAAAAAATCTCAGAAATTTACAGGAAATTTTTATCCATGATTACATAATTATATTATGTAATTACAGTTGTTTAAACTTGATTGGTTAAAAAATTTTACAGCCTTTTTGAACATGTTTCTCATCTTTCAAATCTTTGATCGTTTTAAGAATATTATTAACAATTTTAATCCTGATGATGCACAAAATGTGCGAAAACGTTTGAATTAACATTTTAAATTTCTTATATTAGATAGCAAAGGTTTGGGGTTTGAATCCGGTCGGGGCTTGATTTTGCAAACTAGTGTTTTGTGTTTTTCCGGACTATCGTCTGTCTTTTTACTTCCCGTAGCTCGATGGTGCAACTTTATTCCAAGTTGCTGTAACCCCCATGCATAAGACGACAAAGCCCGGGACTTCGATTGAGACCTGTTTTTTTTCTAAATAGATAACTTTCGCTGATTTAGATTATTGTCCGTCTGCTTTTTGTGTCTGTTTAGTTCCGCAGCATATTTTTTTGGAATTTTGCCTTCTCAGCATTTCCAATGCTCTTTGTAGAGTTTCTAATGGTGCAGGCAGATTTTTTCCGGATATTTATGACTTTTGTTGCAATTTTACAGCGCAACCTTCTGACGCAACACAGAAATAGAAGTAGAGTTCTCAATGGTTGAAAATTACTGCAAAGGAGGGTCAGAATACTCGGGAATTTTAAATTTTCAAAATTTCCATTGTCGAACGAATGGATTGTATGTATTGCGCCATTTTTTTTTCATAGAGAAAAAGAAAAATGGCCATTTTGAGCCAAAAAGTGACGAAAATAGTGAAAGACAGTCGGACGACAACGATATAAAAACGAAGCCTCTTATCTTGGCAATCACGCACAATAAGACACTTAGCGGAAGGAATTAGCGAGAAGGGAGGCTTCAGTGGGGAAAGAGTAGAGAGCAGTACCCCCCGCGCCACGAATTGGGAGTAATAACGACGTTATTACAGGAAAATCAAGGAAGCGGAGGCTCGGCCCCCCAGAGACAGTATATGGTGAAGGACTATAGAGAGGAAAAAAGTTTAATTTAATAACCTCAAATGAGATAAATGAGTTTTTTAAGTAAAACTATAATGTTCACTGTTTATGAAGGGTTTTCACCAACCGCGTTTTATTTTGTAGATCCTTGACATACGAGCAGTTGTCTAGCAGGTGGTTGTAGTTATCAGCTGTAGAGTCACAATAATTATAATCACATGAGCAGTCCGGTTTGTAGCAGCGTTCGGTCTTACAAATCGCGTAATGTAGGCCGTTGTTATAGTAGCTGGCTATGGCTCTGCGCGTTTGCCCAGTTGATTTTTCGATGTTCAGAAAGTCGTTTTCAAAAATGTGATGTAGCAGTCGGCTAGTAGACGCATATTTGGACAACCCAGACCAGCGTTTCCAGAAGTACACTGCAACTGGTTTCGCGTGCTCTAAACTGGCTGTAAACATGCTGCAACCGTAAGCAACCGAGGGCAGAATAACACTCATGAATATGGGCTGGAGCTGTAGTTTTTGAATATTGACTTTTACAAACAAGGCGTAGATGTTGTTTATACCTTTTCTTCGTCTTTTATTCAAGTGGGCGGTTTTCTTGTTGGTGGCCGTCAGAATAACCCCCAAGTTATCGAAGGAGTTGGTGAATTCAATGTCTTCCCCCATGTAGTAGATGCGATCTGTACTCTTCAATCTGTCTCCGCGGCGAAGTTTTATGACTTTTGTCTTAACGACATTAACGTTCATGTTGTTGTTTTTACAGTAAATACCGAGCCTGTAAAAGGCCAACTGGAAGTCAAACGGGGATGATGAAGTGATTACTACATCGTCTGCATAAAATATGCAGAAACACTTACACTGAACACAAATTTCTGCCAAATCAGCAATAAACAGGGAAAACAAAAGAGGAGAGAGTTTGTCTCCTTGTGGTAGACCAAGCCGCTGGAGTATCGGGGAAGATAGATAACCATCATTAACGACATGTACCACGTTTTCATGGGGATATCATGTAGGACGAGCAGAAAATTGTTAGATACACCCATCTTTTAAATAAAGTAGAGCAATCAATGCTGTCGAAAGCCTTACGGAAATCGATGAAGCACGCATAGAGGTGGGCATTTGTTGCGATTGATGTGTCAATGTTCTCCCTGAGAATGCTAATAGCATGAATGGTTGATCTACCTCTACGGAAGCCATACTGGACGTCAGGAATTTTTCCATGCTGTTCGCCTCAAGTAGCTAGCCGGTTGCGGAGTATCGATGTATAACATTTATAAATACAGTTTAGAAGAAGAAGAAGAAGAAGAAGAAGAAGAAGAGACTTTATTAGTGAATGATACTACATATAAAAGTTTGCGTAATTCAAGCTTTGAGTTAAATTGTTAATGTTCAGGAACGACATGTGTTGCAACGGCATTTGATGAAGAAAGTGCGTGGATTGTCGAGATTGAAGGTTGATTGAAGTTGCTGTTTAAGGAAATTGAAGAGTAGAGTCTTGGTTTGTGAGACTGTAATTGTAGAGTTGATGTCGACTTTTGCTAAAACACTATTGACGCTATGATATGTTCTTTGGAAAAAGCTCCCAAGGGAACAGAATTTGCGGGTAAGAGGTACAGAGAATACCATTCTCTGACTGGATCTGTTACCCGGTCTCGATTCACTAACAGTAACATAGTCCTTAATATCGAAGTCATAACAGTTATGTAACAGTTTGAAGAAGAGAAGACAATCAGTAAAAATAATTTGATAGCAAATAGGCAGTATGTTTATCATCACAAGACTGTCAGTATAATTAGTGGAACCAATTATCCACTTTACTGCCTTTTTCTGGAATTTTTCCAAATCACGTAGCTTTGATAAACTTGGGTACCAAATAAAAGAGTTAAAAAGTAAAATGGACCTCTTACAAGAAATGTACATTTGAAGCTTAGTTTTAACAGGTGAGTTGAAAGGAACATTACGCTTTAAATAATGAAAACACTTTGTGGCTTTACCAAGTTTCGCAGAAACATGGTGATTCCAAGACAAAGTAGGCGAGATATAAATACCCAAGTCTTTGATATGATCAACAGAGCATATTTCTGACCCGTTAAGATAAAGGTTGAAAATAAAGCTATTGTTTGAAATGAATTTAGTTTTGTCTGGATGAAAATCAAGACCTTTTTGGGTTGCCCAGGTCTCTACCGAATCTAAATCAGACTGAAAATTGTCATGACAGTTGTCTCGATAAAGCAGTTTCAGGTCATCAGCAAATAAAGACGGTGAGGAATACTTGACAACATCCGGGAGGTCATTGATATAAATAAGGAATAAAAGTGGTCCTAAAATGCTTCCTTGTGGTACACCGCTAGAGATGTAACCTTTGTAAGATAGAATATTTCTAATACGTACTCTTTGTGTGCGATTGGAAAAATAAGATGAAATTAACATGATAAATTTTTCGTCAAAACCAAAAGAAGACAGCTTGTTCAGCAACTGTTTATGTGACACAGAGTCAAAAGCCTTTTGAATGTCAAAATATACAGAACAGAAATTTTCATTGGCTTTCAATACATAATATTTTCAACATGTTCCAGCAATTGTGTAAACGTGCTGCGCTTTTTAACAAAACCATGCTGTCAACGAGAAAGTTTGTGTCGAACATTAGAATAAATTAAATTAAAAAGCAGTTTTTCCAAGCAAAGCAATAAGCGCGGTAAAATACTAATTCCACGATAATTTGTAATGTCAGATTCTTGCCCGAACTTATGAAAAGGCATGATAAACGCCTCTTTCCAAAAACTGGGCCACATACAGCAGGTAACAATTTGACTGAATAGAATATATACCATAGGCGTGAGTGCATCAGCATTATATTTGAGAACAAATGGTGGAATGCCATCAGCTGCAACTGCTGTGGTATCTGGTACCTTTTTAAGTAAACTATTTACATCACTTTCACCAAACGATAATTCGCGCAAATT